CAGCGCTCCCCCCGCCAAGCGCCCGTGCGCCATGTGCCCGGGGCCAGGCCAGCCCCGAGCACCTGGCGGGCGCATTGAAATGCCCCCGCGGGCGCCGTGTTGGGGACCACGGCTGTAGACAGTCATAGCTCTTGTCCTTTCTCTCTAGGTTCTCATGCCAGTTTTTTCTATGGAACCCCTTACCTCAGTTTTCCTGCAATTTTGCCTGCTCTCTTGATCTGTGTCTTGTTCTCGCAGGCTATGTCTAGACTACCCACGATTTCTGAAAAGATATGCAAATTAGGCATGAATTTGTACCTCTTCAGATCCCTTTTTTGGGAGTTTTTTCTGGAAAAATAAAAGCAATGTAGATGGGGGGGGGAGTTTGCGCAAAAACCCTCTTTTTTTGAAAGTACCCTGTAAACCTCATTTTTTGAGGAATAAGGGTTCTGTCGAAAAAGGGGGGGGGGTTTGTGTAAAAACCCCTGTCTAGACTTTTTTTCTAAAAAAAAACTTCCAAAAAAGGGATTGGAAGAAGATATGCAAATATATGCCTAATTTGCATATCTTTTGGAAGCTGCAGGTAGTCTAGATGTGCTGTCAGGGTACATCTACGCTACAGAAGATCAAAGCTGCTTCTGTCAATCTTCCAGGGTTCGAATTAATGGTCTAGTTAAGAGCTAATTCGAAGTGCGAGGAGCATGGCACTCGATGCTGGTAACCCTGCTTTAATGAGTAAGGGAAACTTCCTTGGACTTTTTGCAGCATAGACAGTGCCAAGAGCCGAATTAAGCTACTTTGACTTCAGCTATGCAGTTAACGTAGCTGCAGCTGTGCATTTTAATTAGATTTTGTCCCGTAGTGTAGACATACCCTGAGTTTTCAGAAGTAGAAACGTATTTTCATGAAAATCTAGAGTTCAACAAACTCCACATGGAGGCCATAAATATAGTTGAAGCAAAATGCAGGACTATGTAGCACTTTAAAGACTAACAAGATGGTTTATTAGATGATGCAGATAGTCCTGCATTTTTGCTTCAGCTACACCAGACTAACACGGCTACATTTCTATTACTATAAATATAGTTGTGATGGTGTGTCAGGGGGCCCCTGACCCTGCACCCCCATCCACAGCCAAATGTGACTCTTTGCCAGCCAGTAGAGTAGAAGGCTTATTGGTTTGCAGAGACCTGGACTAGCTTAGGGTCAGTGCTACCACAGGAAACAGGGTAGCCAGCCTTATTCCTCT